TTTTTTTTTTTTTTTTTTTTTTTCCCCAAGTCAAGGATAAAACCTGGAATTCTCTGTGTTGTAAAGTTGAACTCCAGACAGTCCTTTCACGGCTGAATGCCGTATTCATACTGGCACCTCCAGTATGGCACAGGCGCCTTAAGCATCAGGAAGCTTAGGGCTGGCTGGGAAAAGAGTTAGCACTACCAGTTTGCTACTTCTTCCTAGCTGATAGGTTAACACAAAAACCACCATCTGGGATCTGCCATGGAGGCTTCATTGAAGGAATCGAGGAGCAGGGCTGTATTTTGACATTTGCTGATACTACCTGACTACTCTGACTGCCACTGGCAGAGGAGCTCTCGGTAAGAGCAATGAGCATTTCATGCAGCCAGCTGTCTGCAGCTGCCAGACCTCTGCCCACTGATTTCAAGACAGAGAAAAAGCTGTGTGCTTTGTTAGATATTAGGTGGTTTGAATATGATCTGGAAAGCTTAAACTGCCCTTTTGCTCTCTAGATTTGAGTCTTGCAGTGGGCTTTCCAGTTATTGTAGTTCCTTCCCTCATGCTCTGGAAAGCAGATAATCTCCAGATGTGGCAAACTGGAATCCCTTTCTCTTTCCTTTTTTTTTCTTTCTAAAATCTGTGGAAACTCTGTCTTGTTTCCCCTCCAGTCACTCACACGGCTTAGAGGAACTGCTGGTGCTCTGCAGCGTGCCTGGGGTTTGCACCATGTCTGATGTGGACTGCTGTGGAACAAACTAGGTCTGCTGATGGATTCCAAAATCTGACAGCAAAGTAATTTGAGTCAGCATCTGAGAGGCAAGAGCCAGAACCAGATTCATTTAGACTACATGCTGTTACACACCAGTTTTCAAGCATTGAGGTGCTAATTCCAACTCTGTTGTAAATGCAGAGTGACAGGTGCAGTGTGGCTTGCCATAGCATCATGCTTTCTGATGGCTTTTCAGGCCTTGAACTATGGGAGGCCCAGCAATGCTAAATTTTAAATGCCTTAGCCTATTACTCGCCTCATTTGCTTTTCCCTCTCAGACTCTCTATAATTAAACATGACTTGGTCACTGCTGTACTACTGATCTTAAAAAGAGTTTAAAAAAGAAAACCTCTGCCATGCAGCTGTGCTGGATGGCAGAGGGAAAGGACAGTGGGATCTTGTAGTGCCTATTTAAGGGTTTAAAGGGTCTCTTCAGCCTCTCCAGAAAAATTATTTTCCTTTTTGCATTGTGAAAGACTTGTGGCTGTCAAACATAAGTATGCTGTGTCCATCAATCAGATTGTACTTGGTAGCTTCTGTCTTTTTGTCAGTGTCTGCTTTATAACACCAGTCACAAGGCAAATACCCTCCTGACTGCAGAAAGTCATTAACTGACGCAGCTCATAGGTTTGAAGGGAGTGCCCAGAAAAGTGGCAACCTTCCCCAGGGTTTTCTGCACACTGTTGAGTACAGAAGATTTCAAGCTGGAAAAGGGTTGTGGTGTCCCTTCCCCTTGCCCAGTGAGTGGGGGAGGACCATTCTGAGTACTGCTTAGAGAACCTCCCTCCGCAGAAATCCTCATTTTACAAAGTTTAGCAGATTAGGGATGTTTGTCATGAACCTAAATCCCTAGATGCCTGTTAAGAGTGGTCTTCTATAAAGATTGCATTTGATTTGGCAGTTAGATCTGTTAAAAATTGTCCAAAATGGTATCTTCAGGATGCAGGCGTACAAAATAGAAGACCAGCATGAGGCAGTCATTATTTTTAGATTATGTGAACAATGGTCCAGCTCACATGGGCTCTGGGAGAGCATCAGCAGCTTGGACTCTCATCCTGGCTCACCCACATTGTACTTACTGTCACCAGTTTGTAGTGATTTAGTGATAAAATGAGTAATGGGACCCAACTGTAGAATATAGACTTCTGGCCATGCTTATATGACATCAGTATGTGGTGTTGTTTTTTCCTCTAGTTTGAAATCAGGCAGCTGAGGGCCCACCTTGCTCAGCAGGATTTGGATCTGGCTGCAGAGAGAGAGGCTGCGCTGCAGGTCCCACACGTACTGAACAAACAGAGCAGCAACAGGTACAAGGTGGTAGCAACTGAAGATTCAGATGATGAAGCCACTGAGAACATCACTGAGCTGCGGCCTCCACGAGGTGAGTGCTGCCTGTGTGCTGCTACCCACTGGCATGGCTGCTCCCTTACATGGAGTTACTGAACCCACTAAATACTTACACTCTACCAGTGAACTGATGACTTTCCCTGGAGACTGCATTTTCCCATTTTTGCAAAGAGGCTGTGTCTGCTTCTAAGTGGCAAGGAGCTGTTGTGTTTGCGAACAGATTCTGAACAGAGCCAATAAAATGACTCGGGAAGAAAATTACTGTGATGTACCTTCCCAGTGTTCTCATGATTGTATCCATCAAACACTAAAGCAGCAGCAGCCAAATCAGAATTGGCAAAATGATAATCACTCAGAGGTAAAAGCAGGGAAATTGAGAACATTGAAAAACAGTTTTAGTCTTTGGCCACTTGCATTTCTGTGGTTTAGAAAGGACCCATGCATCAGCTATGAAGCTTGCCTTGCCTAGAGGCTACACTTTCACCAGGTTGCTTAAAACTGCCAATGCTGGACAGCCCAGCTGTGCTTGGACAGGGCAGCTCTGGTGCCAGAAAAGGAGTGATGCACTGTATAGGCAGCTCCTGCTTGGATGTCTAAGTGCTGTGTGACTATGGTGAAGAGCAGTCCGTCGTCTGTGAGCTGTCCATTGGGCAGGTGTGTGGTTGAGGGGAATATCAACAGTTATATTTACTCGGATCCATTTTTATCACACAAGTGCTAGACCAGAAGTATTTTTGGAAAAGACATAGCTCTTTTTCCTGTGATCCCCTAACCCTTACAATGGAGTGCAGAACGTGTCCTGATCTCAGTAACATTTAACATAATATTCCAGAGGAGACAACACTTTCTACCTTAGCGATATGTTAGTCTTCCTTGAACATCTTAGCTTGATTATTTTAGTAGATGAGCAGTATGTGAATATATCTGAATTAGAGGTCTGCATGGTATGTTTATTTTGGTCAAACTCCTTTGGATTCAAGACACAGAAGTACTTTAATCAAAAGGTTTAAGAGAAAAAGCTCACCAGACATTTTCAAATTATAATCCTTTCCATTTTCTACACAGTAATGAAAGCATGTAGAAATTGTTTTTGTTTTTTCCTCTTTATAATATCTAAGCGCTAACCACAATTCATCCATTAATTATTCCTGATTTGAAATTGTATTTAAAAGCAGGCAGTTGAGCAGACTGCCCCCTAAAATGCATTTCCCCCTTTTTCGTAGGATTTCAGAGGTTTCCCCAGTGGATAGAGTATAATTTATGCATGCGTTCCTTGAGGGTTACATTTGGAACTGGAGAGTGTTGTGCACATTTTAAGGAGGTTTGCTGAAATTTTAGTGCTGTGGAGATTCATCTAAAAGTTCTTCTGTCCGAGGTATTCATTCCATCATCAAAGTTAACACAAATACTCATTATTTGTTTCTTCCTGTAAAATGCTGGCCACACATGCAACGAAGTAGACACGCAATCTTCAGGACTGATTTCTGCATTCAGTTAGGTTACGTGATTAGAGAGATTCATGCTTTTCACTGAAAAAAGACGTTCAGCCAATAAGAAAACATGCATTACTTTACATATCAGGTAAGGTGCAGTTATGTTATATTTAAACATTCATACTGAGTATGCAGAATTAATTTCTGATTCCCAGAAGTCATCTAAAAATACAGGAGGAAATATTTTTTGTGCATTGTATCATACAGTACTTACAAAGCCTTTGTAGATGCGTTATTTTGAGCGCTTGTCCTTAGAAGCTAAATTCAGGTGACTCCATTTAAACAATTGTCCTTTATGTTGAATGAGGCAGGAGTTGGACAGAAAAAATTTCCTTTGGTCTTATAGCAAGGGACACCCACCGGTGATAGTCTGCCATCATGGTGGACTACCGACAAGAGAACCAAGTTAAGATTGCATGAGAAACCACAAGCCCAGCAATAACATTCAGTGCTTTAGTTCACAATCCAGGTAGCAGTCAATTGAGGCAGAGGATTTTGCATGTAATTTCCTGGATTATTTTGCAAAGGAAAGAAATAGTACGTTACCAAGGCTTTGAATCTTGCACTAGCAGTGCTGGCTTAGAGATTGCTTTGTGTAAGCTACAGGGCTTCAAAACCTCAATTAACAGCTTGAGAAGCCAGTTACCCCTGGGGAAGAAGGATCATGAGCCAGCCCTGCCTGGCTCTACTCCCTCCCCACCTCAACTGGGTCTTTCTTCTCCAGCTCTCCCAGCACCAACTTGCACTCCCAGTAATATGCTGGCTGTTGCTGCAGCATCGTTCGCCATTATCACTTTGGCATGTTGCCAGCATTTTCTTCATCTACACCATGGCTATTCTGACGAATACATATATCAGCAAAATCTGAATGTGGTATGTGGGATGGAAGAAGAGCATGTCTTCAGCTGAAGGTGCCTCCACTTGCACAGTGTGGAAGGGATATACCTGGTTGGTGAAGGATGTCCCCACCTGCTCAGGCAAGTGACATACTCCTGAGACCTGGCTCTGCAGAGCACAGACAATTAAGGCGTTTCCTGTAGGTCATTTCTGTATCCTGCTCCTCACGTGGTGTGGTTACACTGGCAAGTGCTATCTTCAGGGCTTTCCACACCACTTGCTCTGCCTGGAACTGTAAGCCGCCAGTGTTTTAAATCCTGACTTTTGGGTCAAGGGTTATGTTTTGCAAGTTATCCTCTCTGTCAGACCACATTAGGAATTGTTTTGCATTCATTTTCTCTAAGCTGTGTTTGATGCTGTGATGTGATGACTGCAGTTAATCATTCTGTGTGCCACGTGGTATTTGTGAGCTTTGAAAAATATCTGCAGTTGCCTATTACACTGACTAGTTGGAGGAGAAATAAGGGACCAGGTTGCTAATACTGTTAAAAGAAAAGCTACAGTTCCAAGCCACAGTTCAGCTGTTAGGCAAAACAGGCTCTGATGTGCTGTTCTCTTGTGCTCTGGCAGAACATTAGCCCTACATATGACACCTGAGGGTAGGGTGTAGCATGGAATGCATGTGTTTGTGCCAAACTTAACTTTGTCAGCCTTCAAAAAAATCACCATCGTCGGAGAGCCCTGAGTTCTGCCAAACCAGCAAACTTCAGTTGGCTAGAGAACATACTGCATGAGAAAATGGGATATTCCATCTCAAGCTAATCTTATTTCCCTCGTCTATATTGAACAATGGAAACATTCAGTGCAGAATACTGTACCACGAAGGGTTTATGGAATAAGAAAGCATTCAGACTCATTTCCCTACCTGGGAGTTTTATGGGATAGTGCATAACTTAAAGCTCGTCAGGGGCAGCTGTAGCTTGTCCTCTGGTATTTACACTGGATTTTGTGCAACCATTTACTACAGCATTCAGTAAAGTAAGTCAGGTAACCCCAGTATCACATGGTACACACAGCACCTCAGGGAATTTGTATGGAGACACACACTGTGGCCTGCACCAGGAGAGTACTGTATGTGCTGGCTGATTTGGTAGCTTTCAGTACATGTTTTCACCCAGTTTTTCTTTCTGCAGACCTCCTCCTCTTTTTATCTGAAGTGCCTTAATTGCTGGTACGAGGCTGGGAGAGGCAAGAGCTCTAGTCAGATGGTCAACGGGCTCTGAAAGTGTCCCATAACTCCCCAGCTAATATTTCATGCCTCTCCTTGAAGGACCACTTCTTGAGGTAGTACAGCTGTAAGTTGTTTGTGGCCTGGTCAGTCCTGTGCTAATTCTCTGAATAATGAGCTGGTTGCTGCCTCACATGCTTCTGTCTCCCCAGAGCAGTTCACCAAGAAACTTCTTTACATAGTAGGAATAACTCTGTGGAAAATGTATGGATATATGGTATTTTCTAATTAATTTGGCTAAGAAGCAGGAAATTTTTCACCTTTAACTTGCTTTGAATGGAGGTTTTATTTGTCTTGCCAAAAAATTGATCTCCAGAGCAGACAAACATGAAGGCTAAAACACAGGCTTCAGCATGCACATCAAAGGGTGGCATTATCAACACCAGGAAAGATGATGGACTCAAGAGAAGGGCAGGACTCGAGGAGCTTTAAACCTAGGGCAAATCTGTGACATTTGCTGCACTGTGAGCACTTTACTTAGCTTCTCTGCCTCAGTTTGTAAAGAGCTTAGGGTGGAAGCTGTTGCATGTGAATGCACAGCAGCATCGCTAATGATTTTCAGGACCATTGTGGTCAGCTTTTCTCTAAGAGCAAGGGAAATATCCTAAGTGCTGTCATCCCCTTTCTTTTTCCCAGAGATGGTTACCATTTGACATAATGGCAAATATTATCCTATCTGTTCATCTCTAAATTATAAAGGAAGTTTTTTTCTCTTGCTGAGTTCTTACTTCGTACAGTTTGTAACTGGTCATGGTCAGAATAACGTCTAATGTTTTCTGCTCCTGCACAAATCATTTTTAGTGTTTGGTATACAAAGTTCCAGGCTTCAGGGAATGCGAGGTTCACAGTGCCCCATATAGCCATTAATACTTCCTTCCAAAATTTATTATTCTTTAATCTCTCCCATAATACATGAATTACAGTCCCTAGTGGAAATTCCTCATTTTCCTGCATATATCATTTCAGTTTTTGAAATTCCACAGTACTGCCATAGTTTAAGATTAATATGCCACCCTTCTATTCCTTTGAGCAAGAACCGGATCCTAGCTCCGTTACTTCGCATCGCAGAAAGCTTATTTTAGCTATTCTGAGCCAAATTTCCATTTTTACAGGGTTAGCAGTAAGTCTCTTGCTTTGGGGGCCTGCTGCAATTTATGATCACGCTTGGAGAAAAGTAAAGGTTGCTCTCCCCATAGGTACCCACTGTTTTGTAAGTGAAGAAAGGAGGATATTGGGAGGGGAACGTGAAAAATTCTGGGGCTTCAGAGAGCTTCCCTTAAGATTATTCATAAGCTGTCTGAGAAAGCAAAGCAGGACACTGGAAAGGATTTTGTCAGTTGTTCCTTGCAAGGCAGTCTGAGCTGGTTGAATACTTTTAAACTCTAAGCCAGTTCCTTTGGTGATCATCTGTTAGTG